ATTCCCAAAGGAGTAAATCATGATAATCTAATTAAAATCAAAATAACTCCAAAAGGGGAAAAAGTTAAAACGATTGAATGTGGTCTGTTTAACATAAGATCAGAAAACTTTTATAAGGTGGCCAGGCAATAACCAATGTCCATTGAGGGGTGGCTGAAAGTGAATAGGCACCAAAACCTCGACGTCAATCCATGCTGTTCAACAGGAAAGGTAACGAGCAAAACATCCATACTTTCTCCATAAAGACAAACTATACTTTCCTACAACCTTTGCCAACAGATACACGGATATTGTTAGGATTCATGCCTGTGTGGGATGTTTTTGTGTTTTTTCTTCTCGCCTCCTTGCACACCTGCGGTTGGTTGTGTCTTTACCAGAGGAGTACTTGAGCAGCGGGCTGTCACTACCTCGACGAGTGTTTGCCAGTATTGGGTACACTAGCCATACTGAGATTAGCAGAGTCTAACCTTAGTCTTGTCTCTCTGAGTCTAAGCTTGCTTAGTCTTTGTTCTTCAGGAGGAAGCCTTCCTGTATCACTGGATAAGCCTGGACCTTCTCCCCCTGGAAGGATTACCTGAGTCCAGGGGCGGATCTAGAAAAATATTTATGGGGTGGCGAGAGGGGGGCAGGAATTTTTGAGGGGTGTCAACATATGGCATTTGTTTACACTGAATTTAATCACAGTTTGGTGAGAATAGTATGTACAGTCAGTGTTTCATGTGAAGCCGTTCATGTTAGAAACCGTACAATTAGATCTCACTTAATAGGAGATAGAAGAAGGATAACACTACTTCTAGAGGGGCATTATCACAGGAAAGGTATTAAGGTAAGACACAGGTGCTGAGTCACAGATGTGTGAGATTGACTGTCAGAGAGGCAGCTTTGCAGCATTTGCACAAGAAAAAACTATAGAAAGAAAAACTTACCCATCATAGATCTATGGACTGAGCTGGACTAAAGTTAGCATAACTACACAGTAGAAATAAATGGGTCAAGGCACCCAAACAAGGTACCAGACATCCATGTATTGTTTACTCTGAACACACATTTACCCCATTTGTTCCTCAGTAACTTGACATACAGCAGTTAAAGCAACACAAAAGGGATATTCCATGCATGTAAATATGCTGTAGATAGAGCTGCTGTATCAAGAAATCAACAAAAAGGCAGGTACTGGATGTTACATCAAAATCTCCACAAATCTGAAAAGAAGCAACATAAAAATACATTTTGCTTCCAGTCTGAAAAGTACAAAAAATGTTGCGAGTAGGTTCATACAGGTCATTTCTGGATAGTTTCATAATATATATACAAAGAAGAAACAACAACGCTGCTTCATATTAAGCAGGATTCACACCAGTATCACATTTTTAACTTTTAACACTTTTGGTTTTATTAAAGGAAATATCAGATTTTCTCAGGAGCCAAAACAAAATGTAACATCTCTGTAAAGGCTCACCAGAGAGCAGTTGCATTAAGTTAACATGACTATAACAGT